GAATGAGAAGCTATTGGTTCTGTTCCCCAGTGTCATCAGTTATTAGTTATATGGAGAAAGGCATGTGGTCACTTTGCCTCTGTGGATCTCAGTTTCCCCATCTCTAAACTGAGAGGAGAATTTGATCATCTTGAAGGAGCCTCGTAATGATTCTGTGAAATTCTCCCAGGTCAGTTATTAGCTTGGGTTGTATGTTGTCTACTGTTGGTGCATCGATTTATTTATGAAGATGTCATAGATTTCAAAATTTCAGTCTTTGGTAATAAACGAACAGGCACCCCTTCAGCCCGCTCTACACTTGTCAACATTACACGCAGTAAGTCTCTAGAAGCTAGATCTGAAATCAGGTTTTCCTGACTCCTGGTCCAACGTTGGCTTCGTCATGTAGTTACTTCTTTCCTCCAAAGTGGTTAAACTAAATGTGATTGGCTAATGGAACTGTGCTGAAATGAAGGTTGGGTTCTTCCCTTTGAAGGTGTTTTACTCTAGCTTTTTTGACATATCAGATTCTCAATATTTTGTTAAAAGGAAATGAAATATGGGAAAACCCCCAGAAAGTAACTTTTGCTAAGCTAGTCCATTTCTGAAGTTGGATATTGTCCTTTCAGTTCTGAGGATTATGGGCTTTTCTTTTGATCTCTTGCTCCTTGCTAACACCCACGTTTTGCCTCTTGATCCTCGTAGTCCAACTTAGGTCACCATCTTGTCAGAGTTCTTAGATTAAAACAGTGTAACAGATGTCTTAGAGTGAATTCTAATTAAGTCATTGTACTGCGTTTGGGGATTAAGAAATTCTAGACGCATTAACATTTTTGGGGGGTGAACTTATTTTAAAAACATTTGGTAATTTGTAATGTAATTGGTTTCCTTTGTCATCTTATATATTTTATGCATTTAAAAACATTCTGAGAAAGGGTCTATCAACTTCACTAGACTTGCAAAAGGGTCCATGACAAAAAGATTAATCTTTTTGCACTATAGTAATAGGACTTGTGTCCTAATTTAGAGTAAGTAGACCCTAAAGTAGATCTTAGCTGTTAAACAATTTACTTGTTTAATCGACCAGTCACGAAGTTCCCACCACTTTGTCAGGGGCTGCTCATAGAAGGGGCAACGTTGACAATGATGGAATGCTCTGCTGTAGTTTTTGCTGGGAGAATACTTCCTGACTCAGACGTTTCTGTAACTCAGAGTTCAATAGCTCTTGACAGAGCTGTGCCTTTGATTTGCCAAACTCACAGAACTGTAAGATAACCCTGATTTAATTTCTCTACCAACTTTTCTTTCAACAGCCCTCAAAATAAGCACATTTTTAGCAACTAAAGGGGCAGACAACTGGAAAAGTTGGCCATCTGGATGGCTCAGTGACCTTCGCTTCTTTCTTATTTGCAGTGAAGTATCAAACAATTTCTAGTGATTTTTGCTACCATGTTGGAGCAAAAAGCACAAAAGTAAGGAGTAGCAATTGCAAAATTATACCAGATGATCAACTTCCCTTAATAAGTGTTGAATTTGTAGTTGTCTCAGTAAAAAAGTAAAAGCGTGTGACTCCTTTGACTCTCAGATACTATGATGTCTAGAAATGGAAAGAAAAGTTAAAAAAGATGACTCCCATGATTAATTGCCTTTCCCTAACCCTTAGAATTATAGATTATTAAAGCTAGAAGGAATGTGAAAAACTGTGTAGGCCAATCCCCTCATGTGACAGCTGAGGATAACTGAAGCTCAGAAAAAGTTACATGACTAATTAGTATCAAAACTAGGACTTGAACCCACCCAAGTGTCCTAGTTCAACACTTTTTCAATTGGACCAGAAGTTGGGTGTGGCCAAGAAGAGTGGAATGGAGATTATAGGTGGGACATGAGAAACTAGGAATGAGCCATTAGGATTCTGGATTTGCTTGTTCCTATAGTTATCACCTAACTATCCAGGTTGGGAATTCCATCCGACTGAACATGTGTATTGTGTGGGCCCTACTTAGTTACAACCTGAGTTAGAGATGTTTAAAAATTGCTTAGCTAACATAATGAAGAGATGCAATCATAATAGGACATAGGAGTCCCTGATAATTATCTGCACTCAAACACTCTTGATGGAAAAGGTATAATATCTGTAATTCAGTGTGCAGGTTGAAGACATACTAGCTTGGCTCTGCTTCTTAATACCTCTGTGAGCTTGGACAAGTTATGTAACCACCCTGGGACTCAAGTTTCCTTGTCTTTAAAATGAGTGTGACTAGATGACAAGTCAAAAAGGACTATTTATTAAGAGCTTGTTTATAATAAAGAACTGTTATAGGTGCTGGGGATACAAATACCAAGAATGAAACAATTCCTATTTAGCAGGAACTTATCTTTTAATAGAAGAAGCAACAAGTACATACAGAAAATGTATACAGCATAAAGTGAATAAATGCAAATATACAAATATATTTATACATTATATTTGATAAATGCATTCCACTAGTTTTGTACATTATATGTTTACATTTGTATGTATGTATGTATACGTGGGTACATATATTTGTGTATGTATATGTCTACATATATGTGTATATATGTACATTGTGTTTATGTGTGTGTATGCCTATATACTCACACACACATACACACACATGTAAACACACACACAAGTAGTGAAATGCCAGGTAGTAGGGGAGGGAGTGCACTAGCAGTGGAGATAGGTTGGGGGAGATCTGGAAAGGCTTCGTACAGAAGGTGGTGCATGAGCTGTATTGTAAAGGAAGGAGAGGGACTCTATGAAGTGGAGGTAAAGGAGGGAGTGCAATCCAGGCATGAATATGGGAGATGGGAGGTGGAGTATCCTGGATAAGGAAAACAAAGAAGACCAATGTGGCTTGACTGTAGTGTGAGATGAGAATAATACCCAATGGCACTGGTAAGGGAGGTCGGGGCCAGGTCGTGCAGGGATTTCAACACTGAACAAAGACGTTCGTAATTTATTCTAGAGGCAATAGGAAGTCACTGGAGTTGGCTGAGTAAATCCCTTCTAGTTCCAAACCTCACTTATTGGACTGTATTTCTCTGTCCATTTAGATTCAACGTGATTGTATTTCAATTCTGCATGTCCAAAATACCTTTCCCCGTGCTTACTGTAAAACTGGAGGGGAGCAGGGGGTGGGGAGCTATGTCTCCCCTCCCATTAGCAGAATTTTTTATTGCTTTTTCCTCTTGACTGCTTCCCAAACTACCAGGCCTATGCCAGTCTGTCTGTCCATTCATCCGTCTGTCGCTCTGTTTCTGATCTCTTATTTGTTCTGCTGTGTTTTAAGTTCGCTAAGGATGAGACCATATCTATTGCTGGGGTGGAAAGAATGCTGGTTTCAGAGAACCTGGCTTTGAATCTCGTTTCTGCCAATCGCTACCTTTGGGACTTTGAACAAATCATTCAACGTTGGTGAGCTTCTGTTTCCTCATCAGCAGAATAAAGAAATTGGATTATCTCTGATGTTCCTTCCCTTACATCTCTCAAAGCCCATGATCTATGTGTGACTGGCATCTCAGCTCTTCCTGCTTATGTCTTCTCCGCCTCCCCCGCCCCGTACACTGTCTTCCCCGTGGAAGGATTCTTAACCGTTCTTGCGTCATGGGCCCCTTTGGAGGTCTGATGAAGCATATGGACTCCTTTTCAGAATAATGTTTTTAAATTTATATAAAATAAAATATATAGTATAGTAAAATATGTACATATATAGTGTCATGTATAGTCATATATAGTATATATAAAGTCATATATGTATATATAAATATGTAGTATTACAAAGGGAACCAATTATATTGAAATAGTTGTAAAGTGTTTTTAAATCTCAAGTTCATGAACCCCAATGTAAAAACTTAGGCCTTATGCCTAGGCTAGTACCATGCGCACAAATGCTCAGTTGTTTCCTGAGCATATATATGCTGACTACAACTATATGGAAAAAAAAAAAAGAAATATGCATAGAAATGCAAAGGTAAATGAATAAACGGAGTGGAAAAAGATAAGAGCAATTAAGAAGCTATTATGGATATGTTATACATAAAAATTAATTTTAAAGTATAAATATTTATTACATGTTTATATGATGGTGGTGATGAAATACAAGATGAATTATTTTAAAATGAATGTTGCCTAAGAGGGAAGGAAAAGACAGCTATCATTTTATGTTATCTGCATTAATGGAATTACTATTTCTATGATAATCAAAACTTGGCAGTATATGTTCATGTCATGATGTTATAGCAGATTAAATTCGAGAGTAGATGCTACATTAGAGGAAGAGTATAGGTAAATAAACAATCAAGTATCCTTCTAGGCTTTACCCTATTTCTGGTGCAGTTGCAAGTTCTGCTTTAACCTTTTGAGTTATAGGACCTGAATTCAAATTCTAACTTTGCCATAATTTATTACTTGTGAGACCTTATTTCACTTAACTTCTATGATCCTCACTTTCCTCATCTGTAAAAGAGGAGGTTGTCTTAGATGGCCTCCAAGGTCCCTTCCACCTCTTGATCTATTAGCACCATAATTTTAGAGTTAGAAATGAGCTCAGGGACCATCATAGATGGTGCTTGAAGAGATCTTGGAAATCATCTAATGTAGAGGTGTCAAACTCATGGCCTTCTAGTCTCATGACCCACAAAACTCCAGAGCCTGAACCCAGTTAAAGTGTAATTGGGAAATGTTGAACAAAATAAAAATACAACTCAACATGGACAATGTTAATTTGTATTTGTCTAGGTTGATATGCAGCCCACAAGGATCTGTTTTCTATTAGAGTTTGACAGTACTGATTTAGCAGCTAGGTGGCATAGTAGATAGAGTACCCAGCCTGAAGTCAGGAAGATTCATCTTCCTGAGTTCAAATCCGACCTTAGACACTTACTAACTGGGTGACTCATTTAACCCTGTTTGCCTCAGTTCCTCATCTGTACAATGAGCTGGAGAAGAAAATAGCAAATCACTGTAGTCTCTTTGCCAAAAATCAAAAACCCAAAACCCAAATAAGCTCAAGAAGAGTTAGACATGACTGGAAAACAACTAGTAACAACAACAACAATAACAAATTGAAGTCTAGATTTGAGGACTCTGTTGCTTGAAAATGTGTATGCAAGCATAAAATTTAGTTTTCTGGAAAAGATTGTGTTTTTGTTGCTGCTTCTTTAAACAATGCAGATATTTAATAGGAAATATTACCTTCATATACTTGTAGGGTATGAAATGGAAAACTCCGTGACTTTATTACATGCATGGCAAATCCCATGGCTCTGAACTCAGGTGGAATCAAGTTACAGGGCCTTCTTAGGAAAATCGTTTCAGTTCTTACTCTCTGTCTAAGAAATGGAAAGCATGCTGAATCCAAAACTTTTTTTTTCCCCTTTAAAGCGTTCATAGTCTACCACATGCCTTGGATTTCATAAAATTGGCTCTCATCCGGAAGAATAACATTTCACCAGGTGTCAGAGCTTGCTCATTTTTATAGGGAAAATAAAATCTGGCAGTCAACAACGACTGCTTTGGTTCTAGGATTGTAGTAACTGCCCTGAGAATGTGAGCACTTTCAGGAGTCCTGCAAAGGAATCATTTAAGGCATGTGCAGCATGTCTCATGTAAGCCCTAGAAAACTTAATGGGGCCTATCCTGGGTGCGTGGCTTCCTCTGAAGGGTTTACAGGAAATGGGGAGTATTTTTAGTGGCATGATGATTGGTTAAAGGTGGGGGCAGTATTTTGTGTCTTACTGGAGCCAAAGATTTTTAACACGACATGGTGCAATATAACCACGGGTGTCTGTCCTGAGGGAAGTGACTGGATCCTTTGGGAATATTGATGTAATGGTTAAGAGACAACTGTGGTTTGGGGACAATCAAATCTAATGATTACCTCAGATGTTAATATAGCTTTTAAGTCATTCTGTTCACAAAATGACCTTTTTTTGTCCTTTTTATAGTAATAGTATGCTCATCTAAATCGTTGATGAGCCCCTTCTCTTTTGTATGGGACTGTGGAGAAGTCATAAAAAGAGAATAGCAGCAATTAGGGAAAAGAAAACTTCAACCAAGTTGCTATCCAGCAATGATGAGAGCTTATGAAGGCAAACTTGATTGAAGGGAGGTAATCTGTTGCTGGGTAGAAGAATTCTGATACCACCATCCGTCCAGGGTGAGACAGTGGGGCTGTAGTCCAAGACCTAAGAAGAAAAATAGGATTTTGCTTATCATGTATGCCATATGTTTCCAGTTTCCTGAAGCAAAATCCAGTTACATTTCCTATGAAGAAAAGTACAGTATTCTTTTAATGAAATTCTTCAGTTATGTCTCTGTATGCCACGACTCAATTTCACAGGACTGACTAGAGAAATCATTTGTTTGCCTTGATGTTTATCTTATCCAGGGTGTCACTTAGGAATATTAAAATATGGCTTGTGTCTTGGTCTCTGCAGCAAAAGTAAATGGCCCTTCAGCATCCTTGAACACAGGCTGACAACACCCCAAATGCAGGCTAGGGATTAACAGAAAAAACCTACAGCCAAGCCCACAAGTAGCCAAATACATTTCCCTTCTTTCTCTAAGGGCTTGTACCTCTGCTAGGGACTACCCTAGGGTTAATGCCTCACCTCTAACCACCCAAAAGAAGAAAGCATTTGTAGTTGCTAGAGAGTTGATCCCTCAGTGTTCATGGGTTTTGTTTCTCTAATTACTCAAGTAATTAAAGAACTCTGTTGTTGATTTACATTTGTGCAGTTCCTTACTTGCCCTAGGAACTCCTTAATTCTTTTTTTTGTACCAGATGGTTTCCTGATGGTCCCTCACGTGTGAAGGTTTCCCATCCTTGCAACTGAGGCAGAGTCTTCTATCTTTTTTTTTTTTATGAGGCATTTGGGGTTAAGTGACTTGCGCAGAGTCACACAGCTAGTAAGTGTTATGTGTCTGAGGTCGGATTTGAACTCAGGTCCTCCTGACTCCAGGGCCAGTGCTCTATCCACTGCGCCACCTAGCTTCCCCCAGAGTCTTCTATCTTAATGTTCAACTCTGGCTCTCTGGATGTCTCCTATTCCCTCTTTTAAAATACAGGTTCAAAGATGTAGCCCAGGTATCCTGAAACTAGCTTTGAAACAATCATTCATCCTTAATCATCCTTAGTGTTGTGTAAGTGGGCTGAGTACCCTGGTCAGGGAGGTATATCATCAAGTCCAGAACTCAATCTCAAATAGGATGTAAATGAAGATATTGATGTCTTATGTAGGGAGACTTCTCCATATCATCTCCATACCATTTGGATTTCGATCATTTGGATCAGCAACAAATAAAGATTCATGGGGGGGGGAACAGAGCTAGGAGGGAGAACAGTTATGTTAATCACTAATTTCTATCTTTAGAACTCAGACTTTATTTCTCATTCCCTTTCTTGACATTGATTTCTGAGTTTGCTAGAGGCCAAGTTTTCTTTTATCCCGGTGCTTTAGCTCATTCTTCTTTTGTTCAGATTCTATCTCTATTGTATCATGTCCCAGAGATTCTTTGATCTTTTCTTTGGTTTTTGGACTAAAGGATAGGTCAAAGAAAACACAATAAATTAAAGAAAGTTAAAAAGAAAAAAAGTAATGAGCCAAGTATGGTGATTCACAGCTAGGGCCCTTGTAGCTAATCAGCTGTCTACACTAAATCTGGCACCAATATGGGGAGCTTCTGAGAGGGAAAATGAGACAAGGCGCCATGCTCCCCAAAGAGTCCAAGTGGGAAACAGAGATGGCCAAAACTTCCAAGCCAATCAGTGGTGAGATTGGGCCTGTGAGTGGCCGCTACACTTTCTACCTGAGTGCGACGGAAGACCCAATCTCAAAAAAATTAATTAATTGAAAATTTAAAATAAAAATAAATGGTGGACTCTGGTTCTAATCATGCAATACAGTCAGTTTGGTCAAGCTTGAGCTTTGGATCTGTTAGGGCATGGAGGGATGTGGACACTGTCTGGGAGCCCTAGCAAAAGAGTTATACATATGCTTGAGGGTTAACAAAGGAAAAAGCCTTTGTTCAGGCATTGAAGAAATCTCATGAGATAAAGTACCTTTTACCTGCTCTGAGAAAGAAGCAGCAATGCCTTTTCATCACTTTCTTCTTAATAGTCTGGCATGTCTCAGATTTGCAGGTTAGCTTCAAAGAGATTAGTTTGACCCTATTTGGAGGGAGATAAACAATAGGCCTAATTATCTTTTTATAAAATTTTAAATTATTAAAGACCTCAACAGTTTTAGTCATAAGATTCTGTGTTCAGAAATTATGAACGTAATGAAAAAAGAAATGAATTTCAGAAGACTCATCATTTGCTAGTTTACTGATTTTTGATGAACTCCAACTTTTAATAGAAAAGGAAGAAACACTGTCCATTATATAGCAATGTGGATTATTTGTCTTAATAGAGCATAGTGAATTTCAGGGGTTTTATGCTCTACTGAGTTCAACAAAATTATTTGTTTCTCTGCATTGTTACCCATTACTCTCTTACTCTATTTGAAGAGGTATCCTTACTGTATGCTAAAGCTAATCCCTCAGTAATATAGTGTTTACTGATTACATTACCCTCCCCATTATCAGGGCTGGCTCTAGAGATATCATGAGGAAAAGTAGTTTGAATGCAAGTAAAGCACCAGGGAAATATAGTCCAGTGACTCAGTGGAACTATCTCATGATTTTAAGACAGCATGGTGAGACTATGAGGCCTAGGAGGTTTAAACTAGAGTCTGCAATTTTATGAAATGGTGAAAGGCTGTTGTTGTGACGAGAGTGAGGAAGGAGAGGAGGACTACAGTAGCAGTGGGTGATGGCATTGAGCGTACCCAGGTACCACTGGAGTGGCCAGAATCTTTGTCCATCAGAGGCAGAGATTACAGCAATAATTAGAATGGAAAAATATGCGTGCTCATTAGAGAACTCTCTGTTGGCTGAGAATCTAGGTGTCCTTTTCCCTTCTGTCCCCAGAGATTGAGATTTAAATCCAAAGTTTCCTGATTCTATTTTAAACCATTCTTTACTGTTTAAATGATGTTTTAAGGCCTGGTTTCTCTAGAACAAAAGATAAGATTGATCTAAATTATTTTGAGGGTACATCTTTAATTGGGGGTAGAGCATAGGAGTGTGGCAAGGTCCAGAGTAAAGGTGTCAAATACACAGACAGCTGGCCTCATGTGTCCACAAAGCAGATTGAAATGTAATTGTGAAATATTTAACAAAATAAATAAAAATACAATAAAACATGGATAACATCATGTGTTAAAACTCAGTCAATATATGGCTGGCAAGGATCCTTGTGTATGGATTAGTGGCCCTCGTTTCTATTTGAGTTTGACATCATTGCTCTAGAGCTTATGCTTCACAGAATATCATTGGCCGGATAGTATCCTTTCCAGTTTAGTATTTAGATGCTGCCTAGGCGGATAATGACTTTTTTTTTCTTTTTTCTTTTTGATGAGGCAGTTGGGGTTAAGTGACTTGCTCAGGTTCACACAACTAGTAAGTGTCAAGTGTCTGAGGCTGGATTTGAACTCAGGTCCTCCTGACTCCAAGGCCAGAATTCTATCTACTGTGCCACCTAGCTGCCCCAGGATAATGACCTTTTAGGGGACATTTATTAATAATTTGGACAACTCCGTGAACTTTCCAGCAGCTTCCCTATTTTTTTCCACTGACAGTGTCCCCTCTCAATTGGTTCCTTTCAATATGCCTATAAATATGCTCAGGTCTTCCCAAATCTAAGAAGAAAAACACACAAAAGAAACAAACAAACAAAAAGCCCTAATCTTCCCTTAACCTTTCCACTGATCTAGCAATATCATATTTCTCTCCTCACTATAAAACATTTTAAATAAGTAATTTATACCCAAAGTTCCTTATCAAACACTCTCTTTGCTATCCCTTGAAATCCGGCTTCTCTTCATTCCCTATTCAACAGCTCACTCAGAGTTCACTAGTCATCTCCTAATTGCCAATCCAGTGGCCCCTTTTAAATTCTTGTATTCTTTGAGTTCTTTGCAACATTCAGCACTATAACCTATTGTTTCCTTCATTGGCTTTACATAGTCTACACTTTCCTGAACTAGTTGCTTTTTCTTCTTCCTAATTCCTATTACTGGGTCTTCCCAAGGGCCTGTCTTTGACCCTCTTGTTTTTTCTCTCCTTCCTTCCTTCCTTCCTTCCTTCCTTCCTTCCTCCCTTCCTCCCTCCTCCCTCCCTCCCTCCCTTCTTTCTTTCTTCTTCTTCTTCTTCTTCTCTTTCTTTCTTTCTTTCTTTCTTTCTTTCTTTCTTTCTTTCTTTCTTTCTTTCTTCCAACCTCCCTCCTGTTTTCTCTGCTTCCCAGACCTTTCTCACGCATGAACTTCAGACAATTTCTTTTTAAAAGGATGTCCCAATGCCACCTCAAACTCAACATGTTAAAAATGAATCAATCTTTCCCCTTAAACCTGTTCCTCCTCCTGACTTTTTTATTTCTATCAGTGGCACCACCACTCACTAAGTCTCCACTGAGTAGGGATATTATTTTTGACTCCTACCCAATCCTCACCTTTCATATCCAGAGAACAAGCCCTGTATATTCAGTTTCCATGCCATTTTTCACATCTGTTCCCTCCTTATTGTTCCCCACTGCTTCCACCCTCTTATGGGTCCTCACTGAGGCAGCCAGGTGGCTAAGGATAGCTTACATTTACATATATAAACAAAGCAGTTAGGTGGCACAGCTGATAGAGTGCTAGACTAGGAAAATTAGAGTTCAAATCCAGCATCAGACACTTACTAGCTATGTGATCTTGGGCAAGTCATTTAACCTTTTTCTGCCTCAGTTTCCTCAACTGTAACATGAGGATAATAATGGTGCATACCTCCCAGGGTGTTGTGAAGATCAGATGAGTTATTTGCAAAGCGCTTGGCATAGTGCCTGGCACATAATAGGCACTTAATAAATGCTTGTTGCCTTCTCTGGATAATCTTAAGGCTAGGATTACAATTGAAATTCCTTCAGTCATTGAGCAGTAGCTGATAAAAATTTTTACAAAGTTCAAAAATCTACCAGAAGAATGTACAGCATAAGATGATGATGTTGTTGAGATTTATAAGAAATATATAAGTATTTTAAAATTGAATGACTGACCTTTCAGTTTTTTGAAGTTTGTAGCATTTATTCTTCTGGACTTATTAAAGCTTAAAACATCACTAAGACTTTTAGGACACTCTGTATGTCTTATATTCTGCCATCCAAAAGAGAGAGGTCCCCTTTTCTCTATTTTAGTAGTGTTACTAAAATATTTTTTTAGTGTTTTTAGTTTTAAAAAAAATATACAAATTTGATAGCTTGGTGTATTCTAATCTCACTTCAAAAGTCTATAATGCGCAGGTGAAAACATGCCACAGGTTTCCTAGGGGCAACTCCAATGTCATTTTTTTTAAAGCCTTGGAAATGACAGGTGGATGGGTGGAGTGGTATATGAACTCACTGTATTAGGGAAGACAGACAAAGGAGGGTGGATCGCAATTAATTTTGTATGATCCTCACTGCTTAGGCAATTTAGAAATGACTTCATTTACTTTTAAGTTGCTATTGGGGGGGGGGGCTGTAAATTTACAATAAAGCAGGATGCCTGTAGGTAATTTTAGGGATTTTAAGGTGTGTGCTAAATTGCTTTGCTTAGTAAATATAATTCCAACTTGTATGTGCCATATTCTTTTCCATGAATACTGCTGAGTGATTTTGGGGCCAGGAAAGTAGTTTGGTAATGTTGGTACCTGTGGAAAAAAATGAAAATAGTGAGAAATGAAGTATTGCTCGACCCCTGGCTAAGTCAGAGGAAGAATCACAGAATTTCAGAGCTTAAAACAACTTGAAGATATCTAGCGAATTCAACCCCCCACCTGATGGCTGAATGCCTTCTACCCGTCACATCACAGACCAGTGACTGTCCAGTTTTTAAACAACTTCAATAAAGTGGAAGACTCAGCTTAGCTGTTGAAATGGCTCCCTCCTTTTTTTCTGGGAAGTTAGATCACAACTCTCCCCCAACCTCTTCAAAATGGCTTTACTTGGGCAGCTAGGTGGTACAGCGGATAGAGCACTGGCCCTGGAGTCAGGAGGACCTGAGTTCAAATCTGGCCTCAGACACTTGACACTTACTAGCTATGTGACCCTGGGCAAGTCACTTAACCCCATTGCCTAACCAAAAAAAAAAAAAATCCAAAATGGCTTTACTTGCCCAGGGAGACTCCAAATGTTAGAAGTAGAAAGTGAGCAGGTTTGCAAATCTAGAACATATGGTAACATATGGAGACAGATGCTCTGAGTAAGTCAGCTCAGGATGGGGGGGTGGGACAGAAAGGGGATATCCCTGCCATGGACCATAGACCTACATAGATTTTAGCTGAAATGGCATTAAAGAAGAGGCACTAACATCTGCTTTGCCACTGAACTCTAGGGACCACAAGACTCTTTATTCTGACCTGAAGCTGAAAACTTCCATATGTATTGTCTCCTCCATTACAGTGTGAGCGTTCTTGAGAACAGGAACTGTCTTAAATTTCTACTTGTATCCTCAGTGCTTGCATGGTGTTTTGCACATGGTAAATGCTTAATAAATGTTTTATTCATTTATTTATTCATAGAGAGCAGCAAGATGTATATTCCAGGAATAATAACGCCAATATTCACTGACATTTATATGATACTGTGGTTACAAAGTGCTGGCCGTACATTATCATCTGTTGAAGAAAATGGGGATGTTTAGCCTGGAGAAGACAGGATAGCTGTCTTCAAATATTTTGAAAGACTGCCATGTGTATGAGGAAGAATACTTCAGGTCCTCCTTCCCTCCTGCCTGAACTGTTGCAATCATCTCTTAAATAGTTTTCCTGCCTGCCTCTTCCATTCACCCTTCTCACAGCTGCTAAAATGATATTCCTAAATTACAGGAATTTTGACCATGCTCAACAAACTCCCTTTTGGGTCCCTTTTGCTTCTAGATTAAAATTCAGATTCCTCTGTTTGGCATTCAAAGTCCTTTACTACCTGCTTCCAACATAATTTTCCAGGCTTATAATGCATGAAATCTTTTTTTTTTTTTTTTGGCTAGGCAATAGGGTTAAGTGACTTGCCCAGGGTCACACAGCTAGTAAGTGTTATATGTCTGAGGCAAGATTTGAACTCAGGTCCTCCGGAATACAGGGCTGGTACTCTATCCACTGTGCCACCTAGCTGCCCCATAAATCTTCTTCATATACTCTTAGGTCCAACCAAACTTACATCTTTAGTGTTCCACACCCATGATTTTCCATCTCCCAGCTCCATGCTTTTGATCAGGCTGTTTCCATTACTGGCATGTATTCTCTTCACACTCTTAGAATCTCTACTCTGGTTTAAAGCCCAGCTCAGATCCCATCTCCTACTTGAGGTCTTTCCTGATCCTCCAAGCTGCTAATCTTCTCCCTTAAAAATTGCCTTGTGTATTCATATATATTGTTACCCCCAATAGAATGTAAGCTCCTTGAGGGCAGGGTCTATTTCATTTTTGTCTTTGTATCCCTAGCATCTAGCATAGTGCCTGGGATGTAGTAGGTGTTTAATGAATGCCTACTGATTTTGCTTATTGATTAATTTGCTAGGGCCCAGAAAGCAGAGCGAGGAGCAGTATCTCCTATGTACAGGTAGGGAGATTTTGGCTCAGTGTAAGGAAAAAACTTCCTAAAACTTCTGCCTTCCAAAAACAAGTATTGGGATGGTCCCAAGAGGACTTCAAGCAAAGGATGAATGACTACCAGTTAGGGGCTAAATAAATGTTTTATGGACAGTCAGCCATGTTGTGAAAGGGATTCCAACATTAGGTAGGAGATAATTTCTGGTCCATTATAATTGTTATAATTATAATTCTGATTCAGTCAGTTGGTGTAAGTAAATATTATTATACACATTTTCCAGAATATGGTTGTTGCAATGGTCCTGGCAGGAGGTCAGGAGGGCCTGAAGTATTCTATTTCCTGAACAAGGACACATAAGTACTAAGTGGCAGGGCTTGGACTCAGACTCAATGTCTTTGAGTCTTATGCTGTCTTTCTCCATAGACAGAAAATAATGAAGAAGAATAGAATTTTTTTGGGGGGGAGGGTATAATTACTATTCAGATTTAAGTGAGCATAGGCACTGACCACATTTTTTAAATTTAATTTTTTTTCAATTAATAAGCATTTGTTTTCTTTCCTTCCTATCTCTTCCCTCTCTCAACAATCGAATAACAACAATAAACCCCTCGTAACAAATATTCATAATCAAGCAAAGTGAATTCCCACATTGGTTGGGTCCAAAAATGTAGGTGTCATGCTATATTTTGAATCTATCAGCTCTCTGACAAGAAGGTAGTTAGCATAATTCATTTTCACTCTTCTGGAATCATGGCTTGCCATTGCATTGATTGAATTTTCACGTTTTTCAAAGTTGTTTTTCTGTATTATGTTACTGTTGTATAAATTGTTCTCCTGGCTCTGTTCAGCTCAGTTCATATGGGTCTTCTCAATTTCTCTGAAACTATCCATTTCTTATAGTGCAATAATATTCCATTACATTTGCATGCTGTAACTTGTTTAACTATTTTCTGTTAGGTGGTCACATCCCCCACCCCCTTAGTTTCTAGTTTTTTTGCTAATACAAAAAGAGCTGCTATAAATATGCTCCTACGTATGGCTTCTTTCCCTCTTTCATTGATCTTTTAGGAGTATAGGCCTAGTAGTGGTATGGCAGGGTCAAAGGGTATGCATGGATTAGTAACTTTAAGGGCACAGTTCCAAATCACTCTTCAGAAAGGGTAGATCACATTACAGCTCCATCAATAGCACATCTGTGTTCCTGTCTCCCTACAGATACTCCAGTAATTGTCATTTTCCCTTTTTGTCATCTTTGCCAACCCATTGGGTATGACATAGGACCTCAGTGTTACTATAATTTGCATTTCTATAATCATTAGTGATTTGGTGCATTTATCTTATTCATATGACTATTGACAGCTAGGATTTCTTCCTTTGAAAACTTCACATTTACATCTTTTAACCATTTCTCTCTTGAGGTATGCCTGGCCATGTTTTTGTAAAAGGGCAGGCACCCAATAAAATCATTTCTTCAGATCTACATTTATATATCAGGCCAACTGAAGTGCAGAATAGTCATGAGGTAGAGGCTTAGATAATACTTGTTGATGAATTATTGTACTTTGCACAAGTTTTGCTGATTTATTCAGAAGTTTAGCAACTGAACCAAACTTTAAAGGGACATTTTCATGTTTCTAACTTGCTGTACTTAACCAAGCCATTGAATTGCCTTTTCTGGCCTGTGGACTCAGTAGCAAAGGGGGTAAAGCGTTTTATGGTTAGACTTTGATCTCTACCCTCTCTTTAAAAAAAAATGAGGAGAGTTCATCAAATCAGTGGCTTTTTTTTCAGACATTCCAGAAAGCAAGACACAAAACAAAACACAGCCTGGTGTAATGGCAAAAGTCAGAAGGGCAGAGGGGCTTGTGTGCTATTCATTGAATGAAAAGTTAATGTTTAGTAGAAAATGACCAAATTAGAGTGATCGATGGGGGCAGCCCTAAAAGTCTGATATCAAAGCTTTCTGCTATCTTCTGCTCATCATCAGGCATGGCGTTTTTTTTTTTTTAGAAATTAGCATTTTAAGTATTTCGATAAGAATAATCCCCTTTCCCCACTTTAAGGAGATGGGGAATTAAGAGTGTGGAATATTGCATGTACTGTCAGACACAATTGATGGGTTGATTGACTTTTACTGAACTTCTCTCTCTTTGTTCTTGCTATAAGGGGTGGCTTGTTGGAGGATAGAGGAAAAGGGAGAGATATATTTAGAAATGAATTTGATGTGATAAAAAAAAGACAGATTTTTTTTAAAGAAAAAGTAAAATTTACTTTTTAAAAGAAAAGTAAAATGATAGTCAACCTACAAATACATGACCCAATACTGAAATTTATCTTATTGTGTAGGAATCCAAACACATTTACTTCTCTGTACTCAGTGGATGGGACAGATTTCTTGCAGGTTACATATCATCAGACTTGGAGGCAGATTATATATCATTGGACTTGAAGCTGTCAGGATCCCAAGACTGTGCTTTTCTTTCTCAGTGGAAAACAGATAACAAGGCATGGATAAGGAATAAGTAGACAAAGTTAGATGGACTGAAATCATCAGAGCATCATTAGTTCAACAGGAAAGCAGGACAGAAGAAACTCAAGATACAGAAGTAACCAGGGTACTTGTATCCAGAAAGTCCCAGCTGCTCCTACTTTGCCAGAAGGTTGTAATCAGATGGTATACAAAGTCCACAGGGCAATCGACCCTATTGGTGTCACTTCCTTTGATCTTTAGGTTAACCATGTAAGGAGAGTGAGCAATATTTTATATGAAGGTAACAAAGGTCTGGAGAACTAATCAGTTCTCATCTCCTCTCCCACCCCACCCCCTCACCCCCGCAAACACACACTTTAGGGGATTTCCAAAGTTTTTCCTTTCTTTCTTTCTCTCATTTTGTGTTATTATTATGCCTTGCATCAAAGCATCTCCCCCCGGAGGATTCTGGAAGAGCATGTACTATATGTATCCTTTGTTTTTCTCTCTCCACCCCAACACACAGCTGGTCTAGTAAATCTACCTTCTTGTCAAGTAACTTGGTCTTTGGGTATGAAAATACTCCTACCCTGAAATGATCTTGGCCGTTATGAATCTATATTTTAAGATCAGAGAAAAGCTATGACTAGACAACTTTTTTCTGAGCCACTTCCTTCCCCATGGAGTGTGCCAAAGTCAGAAATCAGTGATCAGACTAGATGGGAATCAAAAATATAGGAAAAGCAGACTATGACTGGGAAAGAGGTTGGTCTTAGATTCTCCAAGTACTCTTCCTCCATCTCCCTCCTTGTTGACTGTCAATAATCAGAGAAGTAGAAACTAACCAAGGACTCACACCTAGTCAAAGAAATAGGGTAAGGGACCAAGAAACCATCACCATGTTTCCTCTTTCCAAAGGTGGGACTGTATATACTTAATATCAGAATTGGATGCATTGTATTATTATCTTCATCCTCATCATCACTATTATTATTATTATTATTATATGTCTGATCAGAATTTGAACTCAGGTCTTTCTGACTCCAAGTCCAGTGTTCTATCCACTATACTTACCCAACTGCCTATATAGAGGGAGATTACTTCAAGGTTGCTGGTTTCCGGGATTCAATAAGGAAAGCACAAATTGGAATCTGGGTCCAGAGATTGCTGAGTAAATTCAAGTTTTCCAAACTCATGGTTATCAAGCTTCCTTGACTGTACTCCTCTTCCAGGGAGAAAAAAAAATTCCTAGGATTAGAGAAAAGGCTGGAGATTGGAGTTAGTCATCCAAAGCCCCACCCATACCTGCTCTAGGGATCAAGGTCAAAAGACAAGGGCGAGAAACCAGAAAAACTCAATGTAATCCATGGGAGCTAGAGGTATTTCAGCATGTGATTGCATGGCATTTCAGCCAAGTCTACATGCCTTGCCTTTGTTTAAACGAGACCTATGAGGCCAGATTATTTTAGGCACACGTGATTGGTTGCATTGACAAATTTACTTCTGTTCTGTGTGGCTGAACTCCTGGATGTGCAGCTCTATACACATTGTGCAGCAGAGATTAGAATCTGATCTGTAGTGACACTTTAACCTAATTTTGCATGGGAATTCTGCTTTGAGGTTTCTTTGGAAGGGTTCCCTTAATACGATGTCCTAATAGTCTCACTAGTCTGATGTCAAGGTGAACTAAGGTTATTTTCTAATACTTGACATATTGATAAGAGTTTATTTCATTGTTTTGGAAGAAAATCTTGGTTAAGTTCATAGAAAGATCACAGGGTTAGGAATCAGGACACTTCGATTCTAGCCATGCTTTACTACTAACCAGCTGTGTACCTTGTGCCTCATTTAGCAGTTAGGTGGGACACTGGATAGAATGCTGGGCCTAGCGTTAGGAAAACCTGAGTTCAAACACAGCTTTAGACACGCCTAGTCGTGTATGATTATGGGCAAGCCACCTAATCTCTGTCTGCCTCAGTTTCCTGAACTGTAAATGGGAATAATAATAGTACTTACCTTCTAGGGTTGTTGTGAGGATCAAGTGAGATAATATTTAGAAAATATCTGGCACATATAAGTGCTTAATCATGCTTCCTTTGTTTAACCCCACTGGGCCTATTTCCTCATTTGTAAAGTAAAAGGTTTGAACTTTATAATCTCTCAGTTCCCTCTCAATTCTAGCAGTCTATGAGAGGCAGCATTACACAGTGGTTAGAGAGGTAACTTTGGAGCCAGGAAGGTCCAAGTCCTGTCTCTGACTCATGCTGGCTGGGTCACCCTGAGCACATCCCTTAACCTCCCAATGTTCTAGACCAGTGTGTCAAACCTAAATAGAAATGGGGTCACTACTTTATACCTAAGGATTCCTGTGGACCCTGAATATTGACTTATTTTAAAAATGTAATATTATTTATGTTTTTATTCTATTTTTATTTTGTTACATTTCAATCGGGTTCATGCCACCATTAAAAGTGTTATGGGTTGCATTTGGACCATGTGCTTATCACCTCTGTCTAGACAACTCTTTAAGACCTTAGGTTGTGCCAAGCTGCATTGGTAGAGGGCATTTCTTAACAAGGGAGTACCCTATGCTGATGAAATTATAGATCCAGTCTTGTCTCTGTCTCATACAGAAGAATTAGGTGAGGCAGTCGATGAAATCGACAGGACCTTGTTATTTGGCTTAAGGGAAGACATTCTCCCTTACCCCTAACATACACACACACACACACACACACACACACCTAGGGCTGAACAAAAACTACCAAAATAAGCACCAAAGGAGAGACAAGGAAAATAAAAGAAAGATGCTACGGAAACCTGGGGGGATTTGGGACTAAAACCTCTAAATAAGGGCAGAGGTCTAAACCTCCCCCCTCTTCTCCAGGCATGCTGAGGCCAGGAAAGACCCCTCCAACCAAGGCAGCTCTCTAATCCCTCTCCTCCCCAGCCATGACCAAACACATACATATATACACCGGGGCCGGAACTAAAGCTATATATATATATATGTGTGTGTGTGTGTGTGTATGTATATAAAAATATATGTATGTTTATATATATGTGTATATGTATATATATGTATGTTATATGTGTGTGTATATATGGATGTATGTATAGAATATAAGGAACACCATTAGAGAGCCTTGGGAATGGTATTCTTCATGACAGGAGAAGAGAGTCCATACTAGTCTGTTCCCAGGGCATGTTGCTCATGGTGACGCCAAGCTCTTGCTATTCATATTCACTACATGCTTTCAGGTTAAGTTCTGTGTTGAAAATTGCTCAGGTATCAGAGCCTTAAGTGTTCAATGGGGAAGGGGAAGTGGGGCTCCCACTCGGGAGTATCTGATTGGTTTCCCATATCTAATGGGAAATTACTATTTTTGCAATCAAGATCTGGAGTTCAAATCCCAACTCTCCCACTTACTACCTGTGTAACTTAGGATAAGTCATTTAACCTCTCTGGGTTTCCATTCCTTATCTGTAAAAATGGAGTGGATAACCACTTTTCCTTCCAGCTACAAATCTAGGATTTTATTTTGTTATGAAGTCACAGCCTGGGAGGTACCAATGGATTAGAAAAATTAGAAGTTTCTAACTTGGAAGAATCAAAGAGAGATCAAGGCAGGGAAGAGGAAGAACAGAAGAAAAGAGAAAGAAATATCTCTTGAGAAGGTGGAAAGTCGAGCAGAAAACTCTTACTTTGCCCCTTGATGGAGTGAAACTGGGACTTCCTATGTGGGCCTAGTCTCCAGTTTGCCATCTAGAGGTAGATTTTGTATTTGGGTGCCCATGGATCTTGTAGAGATGCTCTTCATATCCTGCCATGGAGACTTATGTGTAGTCAGTCAGTTATTAAACATTTATTAAGCATTATTAAGCATTTATTAGCTCAGGGCCTGTGCTAAGCCCTGCGGATACAAAGAAAGGCAAAAGCCAGTTCCTGCTCTCAAGGAGCTTGCAATTAAATGGGGGAAGATTATATACAAAAGAGTAGAAGGTACCTAGTAAGGGGGGCGTGATGAAGTCCAGATAAGTATAGTAGGTAAGAAATAAAGAGATGGCTAGCCTGTGTTCCCTCCTTAAATGGAGGTTCTGGGAGGAGAGATTTCTGCTCTCCAACAGGGGAGGGGAAGCAACAGCAAAAGCAAAAAAAAAAAAGCCATTTCTTCATCTGCAAAATAAGGATGATACATGTAAAATCTAATTCAGTCTTCCCTAGGAAGTTTTGAGTGAAGAGGAAGAAATGCTGTGGGTATCTGGAGGGGGAAGGTAGTGACAAGAAACTGCTCTATCTCCCCATGGCCACCTGGTTGGCATGTGGCCAGGAACATATGGTGTCCCTGTTTCTTTTGTTTCTTTGTGTTTATTCATTTCTGATGTCAGGTGGATAAGCATCGGAGACAAAATGGACCAAGTTACAACCTTATGCTCTTTAAAAAGTTGCAAAGTGTACTTCAGGCTTACATGACCAATTAAATGGAGGACTAGACTTCTTTGATCCCTACAACCTCTCAAATGTCTTGAAAACAGGAATAACGTGCCAAAGATAAAGCAGTTTCAGCAGTTTCCATACAGGGGTGGGGAACCTGTGGCCTTGAGGCCACATGTGGCCCTCTAGGTTCTCAAGTGTGGCTTTTTGAGTGAATCGAAGAAGGATTTGTTCTGTGAAGTTTGGATTCAGTCAAATGGCCGAACTTGGAGGACCTAGAGGGCCACATGTGGCCTCAAGGCCACAGGTTCCCCCCCCCCCCGACATACAGCATGAAAAAACAAACAAGCCCATGAACTGACTCCTACCCTGAGCTCACTCAGCACTCCCTCCCCCACTGACCACCAAACTTAGGAGGCTATACTAGCCAACCCAAAGACCTGACACATGGGCTTGCCACAAAGCCCAACTTCACACTCAGGCCTCCCTCCTTCTTTCCAGTGCCGTGGAGTTCTGAGTTCCAGGGTGCTGAAGTTTACTGAGGTCTCTGCTCAGGCTTCAACAGACAGCCAGTACTGGGTTATTTTGTGCGGCAAAAGACCTCTGTAGTAGAGTGGAGGAACGGGGTGAAATGGACAGGACCTGTTTCTGGGCTTAAAATAGAGCTCAGCACTATGCCCCACATCCTCTCAGAGCCTGGGTTACCCAAACTACAGAAATCATTTCACACCTATACATAAAAATACTGCACAGTAAGCGTGCTTGAATGTGACTGACTCTATTTTACCATGGTTATTGGGATGAAAATATATTCAGAAAGAAGTGGAAATTTTCTGGTGGCCATCTCAAAGGACAAATCCACACTGACCATACCCTTTAGACTAAGGACAAAACTGAGGACTCCCAGAAGGTAGCCAGCTGTCTGAGAACCATGGAGGACTTGGCACTTACCTGGTGCTCCCTCTGAGGTTGGGGGATCATTTAACTTGAGAGAGGGTGCAAGACTTCATAGTACTTGATTTTTTTTTTTGAGGCAGTTGGGGTTAAGTGACTTGCCCAGGGTCACACAGCTTGTAAGTGTCAAGTGTTTGGTCTGAGGCCGATTTGAACTCAGGTACTCCTGACTTCAGGGCTGGTGCTCTATCCACTGTGCCACCTAGCTGCCCCTCATAGTACTTGATTCTTAAGGCGAATAAAATTAGGGTATTATCTAGCAACTCTTTTGATACCCAAAGAGAAACCATGCCTCATACCATTGTTAAACCGTCTTGTTTGATTTTGTTTGTTTTAGCTTGAAGTCAGTTTGTAACTCAAACTCACTCACGATCAAAAAGCATTTATTAGACATGTACTGGGTTTCAGGCATGTAACCTTAGGGATTTATGATTCTGTATCCTTGTTCTGGATATCTAAACTGTTGCCTGTTTAAAAAGAATCTCTTTCCAATATGGAATCCCCAATGGTCCATATGCTCATTATGTCTGAGTCATTCCCTTAGCGTTTTAGGTTTTAAGGCATGTCCTACAGAATTCCTTTCCTAGTCAATGCCTGGCCAGTTTACTGCTGGCTTTTGCTAATAGGTTCTAAGAGTAGAATCTCTTATAGAGGAAATTGTCAGACAGATTTTGAATAGGGATTGCTTTAGGCATGAAAAACTGAGATCACTGAGGAGAATACTTCCTCAGTCTCCTTAGGGTTTATATAAAGAAAGATCTATTATTATTTATAATAGCAAAACAGAAATTAGCTCATTTACCTTTGAAAATTAATAGATAAACTAAGCAATAATAATTAGGAAAGGAAGGAAACCAGCATTTATTAAGAGTCGGCACTGTGCTAAGAGCTTTACAAATATTATGTCATTTGATTCTCACAAAATATCTAGGAGGCAAGTGCT